GAGCACAACCAGGGTGGGGAGGGGCAGAGGGAGAAGCAGACCCCCTGCTGAGCAAGGGTTGGGGGGGCATGTATGACTCAATCCCAGGAGCCCGAGGTCATGACCTGAGCTGAAGGCAGACACTTAACCGACTGAGCCACCCAGGCGCCTCGAGCATGTGACTCTTGATCTTGGGGTTGTGAGTTCAAGCACCATGTCCGAGCCCCAAAATAAAATCTTAAAAAAATATGCTTTTATGAGGCAGAAGAGATATGCTTATTGAGCTCATGCCACTCCCACAAAAGTAACTTAATTCATATTCTCCTAATTACAATTGCTCAAGGGCTTCAAGTTTTGTTTTTTTTTTTTAAGATTTTATTTATTTATTTGACAGAGAGAGAGAGCACAAGTAGGCAGAGAGGCAGGCAGAGAGAGAGGGGAGGAAGCCGGCTCCCTGCCAAGCAGAGAGCCCTATGCGGGATTTGATCCCAGGACCCTGAGATCATGACCCGAGCCGAGGGCAGAGGCTCAACCCACTGAGCCACCCAGGCTCCCAGGGCTTCAAGTTTTATATCTCGGCTAAGTCTTGTCCTTCCAGTAGCAGGTGGAGATGCTCATAAACACTTTGCCCTTAGGACAAGGAGCCATTTTGCTGTGGTCTGACCAGTGTCACCCTAAGGAACCCCCTTCCACCATAGCCTGCCCCTTGGGAAAGAGACCCAAGAAAGGCTGTCAACATTCTTCACCGCCCCCCAGCCCCCCCGCCTCTGCCCCAGTTTGGTTAGGCACAGGGATTTGAACCAAGCAGGACCAATCTGAGGAATCCCTTACACTGTTTCTGGGACTCTCAGCAAAAAGATCTTCTTGTCCCCCAAGGCGACCAGCTGTCAGAACCGTGTACCTGGAGATTCTTCAGGCCATCTCTGACACCCTGTTGGGAGGACCTGTCTGAATGGTACCAACACAGAGAGAGAGAAAGAGACAAGGTCACCAGCTCGTCCCAGTTCACCGGGACTTTCCTGATGGTAGCACTGAGAGTCCCATACCTAGGACCTCCCTTTAGCTCTGGGCAAACACGAAAAGTTTTTTACCCCCAGAGACCATCCGGCAAGGAGTCCCGAATATATGTTTCCACTCTCAATCCAGCTTTATTTGAAGTCCTTTGAGCATCTCAATTCTGTGACCCAGTGGGTTCTGGTTTCTATTTCAGCAACTCTGAGTTGTGTTTCTGCCATTTGCCACTTCAGGAGTCAGAGTACACTCCCAAAGAATGTGCACATTTAAATACAACTCGAAGTTAAAGAAGCAAAATAAATCGAAGTAGGAAGCCACGCTATTTTTAGATTTAAAAAATGCGGAAATGTGATCATGTGGTCACTTCTGAGGTTGAGATAATTTATTTGAAGAAGGGGCTCTGAGAAAAAAAAATGTATACAAAATGGAAAAAAGGAAGAGAGGCAAATGAAAACATTCTTATGGAAGAAAAACCTCATGGCATGAGAAAGGTCAGAGTAACGCAAGAGCAAAAATTCAAAAGAACAAACTTACACAGTGGGGGGCGGGGGGTGTAAAAAAAAAAAAGTAGCTGGGGGAAAAAAAAGTAACAGCTTTGCCTTTCCATTGGAGATGGACCGCTCCTGAAGCAGGATCAGAAGACAATTCGGGGGCGCCTGGGTGGCTCAGCGGGTTGGGCCTTTGCCTTTGGCTCAGGTCGTGGTCTCGGGGTCCTGGCATCAAGCCCCTCATTGGGCTCTCTGCTTCCCTCGCTCTCTCTGCCTGCCTCTGCCTACTTGTGATCTCTATCAGATAAATAAATAAAATCTTTAAAAAAAAAAAAAAAAGACAATTCAGCCACAGGAATGGACTTGCAAAAAACGAGCACAATAGCTGTTTCTGCAGATCCTAATCAATTTCACTAGATTTAAAGCAAAAATCTAAATGACCTCTGGCTTTCCACCTTGGGGCAGGTAGGCCAAAGACAGTGCTATAAGAACGACCAGAACCTGGTGTTTTGTAGTGTTGGTCAGAGAAGTGTTGAAATCTGTGCTCCTGGAGGGTTTCCTTTGGGAATGTGGCCAGAAGGGAGAGGTCTAGACAGTCTCTCTGTAAAGGAGCCGCACAGAGTGGAATGAAAGCCCCTCTGCCGGGCCTCCCCTGAAGGATTCGAGACTGGGGCCTCTTTCCACAAGGGACTCTTTCTGGCCTGTTTCAATACCGTTTCTAATTCTAATGCAGAATGGAAAAGCTGAAGCGTTGAAAACCAAGAAAGAAATCATTTTCTCACTAGAAAGAGAACATGGAAAAAAAAAAAAAAAGCCATGAAGCTATGTAATTTGGGGCTACCTCTGTGAACATACTTTCCATTGAATCTCACCAACTTCAAACGATTTTCACTTGGTTTTCTGATGTCACCTCATTAGAGGGAACCAGTCATTTTCTTGGTTCTGTTACTTTGAAGGGTGATTTGGGGAAACTGGGGCACCCTTGCACGGTCTTTCTAACAATCACTTTCATTTAGGATGATAGGGGGAAGAAAGGAAGGAACTTCTGAGGGAGGAAAGGAACAACACTATCTGTACTTGCACGTTTTGCAAAATTGATGTCAAAATTGTACTTGCTTAAGGATGGTTCCTCTTTGCACGTGACATCGAAAACAGAAAGAGCTGCTATCATTGCAAGTTGTCTGGTAACAAAGAACCAGATTCACACACTAAAGCTTAAGTCACAAGGAATGCTCATGCTTAAAACCTGGGAGTTACTTGACTGTGTGACTGGATTTTACGTTGCCTTTGAAGATGGAGACATCCAACATTGGCCAGAGTATTTGGTGATTTGTTTTTTTTTTTAAATAACTTGTAATTCAGGAAGACCCCACCTACAAGCAGGATATCCTTCTGCTTTCTCCCTGAACCAGGATGCCATCCAGCATCTAAGAAAGGAAGGAGGCCAAGCTGCAGGAGACGTCATGTTATCCTGAAACGCGCCCCTTGCAGAATTAGACCTGAAGGATTACTGATCCTGGGCTATGCTTGACTTTCTCCCTGAAGGATGCTCTTGGTGGAGCTCTTGCCTCCAAAGGAAACACAGTGCATTCGCCAAGGCTAATGGGCAACCGAGAATCCAGACTCACCAGCACTTCTACCTTCCTACAAATTCCTCACAGCCACGTGCTGGGTGTTTATGGGGTGCTGGGCATTGTGTTTTCTGCGAGGAAAGGCACAGGTAGAACAAAAGGGGGTCTTCTTATCTGGGCCCTCATTTGGTAGTTGGGGAGATTTGAGGTTCTAAGAGGTTATGTGATTTACATGGAGTGATACAGTCACTCCAAGACAGCGGAAGCCAGCGAGCGTACCACACCACAAACCTATAGCAAAAATGGTTTCCTCTCCTGGGCTTATCTGCATAACCATCTTGGTCTCCCATCTTGTCTATTTGACTATGGCTGGAAAGGAGAAGGAGAAGGGGACTAAAGGAAAGAAGAAAAAAAAAAGGGGGGTGTGTGAAAGATTCTTTTTTCCCTTGGCTTTCTTCTATTGATTTGACATTGAGAAGACTGATTGTACACCTGCCACAGTAATCACGGACATTTAACACCAGCCCAAATGCATGTTTTTCTTCTTTAAAAAAGTTATGATTCCGGCTTTTGTTAAGCTAATGAAATGCCTTCATCTCAAACCATATGTAGGGAACCCCATATGTAGTACCAACTTTTTATAAATCAAAAGGGAATAGTGAGAAGAGAAAGGGGCTACATATTTATTTGTGAAAATCAGCCTCGACATATCTAATGCTCCCAAATTATATGCCAATGATTGAACAGCAGACAAGAGATGAAAAGATGGGGGCCAGACTGAGAGGGAGGTCAGGAGAGCCCGAGCTCCCAGTACAAGAGCAAACCTTATTCACCAGGCCAGTCGCCCTGGGATTCGGAGACCAAACACGGTATTTTCCAGAGAATGCTGGCATGTTTATCGCCCAGCAGGCCCTGCCCTGCAGCCTGAGAGCACCTACCAGTGTTTCCAAGTTGGCAGTCCCCCAAAATCAGAACAATGATTGCTTTTCTCTTGCTATAAAAATGCTGTTGAGTTCATCAGAGATCCATTTTGTATTTTTCATTGAGTCCAAAGCATGCGATTTCCTTCAGAAGAAATCCTATCGTGGTTTATGTAGTTTTTAAAAATAATTGATCTGGTCCATTAGTAAAGGTAGAAATGTTTTGATGAGAGAAGAAGGAGCTGCTCCTAGAATCTCATTATTGATCTGAAGTAAAATGTTAAAAAACAAAACAAAACAAAATAACTCTACACGTGATGTAGTCTATGCGTGAGTCCAAATACTGCTCAACTCACTGGGTCTAAGGGAGGCAACTATGGTGTGAAGCCTTATGCTGGGTCATTCATTCATTCATTCATTTCATCACGCAATCATTTATCAAATTTATTGACCATTTACTGTGTGTTCTAAGCATTGACAATGCTGCAGTTAACAAGAGAGAAAATGACGCCAGCATCATGGAGTTAATGAAACAGAAAAGGCCAAGAACAAACCCATGCAAATAAGTAAATATGATCATTCCAAATTAAAAAAAAAAAAAGATTATTCCAAATTCCTTTGAAAGAAGAACAGGATGGGGTGGTCAGCTCAGCCTCTTGGGAGCTGTGACATCTGGCTGACCAGGAGCCTGTGCAGGTCTGGGGGTAGGAAGGAGAATGGCTGAGGCAAAGACCCCAGGTTAAGAATGAGTCTGACAAATCTGGAGGAAAGCAAGAACACCATGGCGGACTGAGAACAGGAATGCCTATCGCAGTAAAGGTTTACTAAAATGAACACAAAAGCACACAACATAGCCCGGAAAGGTCTTATGGGCCATGCTAGGCCATGGTTCTGCACATGGAAAGATTAGAGGGAGAGCTATGGATTTCACTTTTCATCTTCTACGTGCACAAAAAAGGAGCCGGCTCTTGAGAAGCTTTTCCAAGTACAGCACGTTGCCGGCACGTGAAACATGGAAACACACATACCTGGGATCCGATTCAGCGTCACCCAGAAATGCTCATCGGGGCTGAAAGTGTCTTTGGACCAGTGGAGCAAGTCAACAGCCCGTGGGTCACGGAGGACAAAGTTGGTGAACTCTCTTGACAGAGCGACATAGGCAGAGCCAAAGTAAATGGTGAGGTTATGGGGAGGAGGGGGCTTGAGCGCCGTGGTTCTGATCACATAGGAAAGTTCTTTGCCCAGGTGCTCCCGGTGGACGAACTTTGTCCGTCCAATGGCATGAGCTGGGGGCAGCACCCCCGGGGTGATGTTTTTCCCTTTAAAGCCTTTCAGATACTGAACGATCTCCTTGTTGGTCTTCAGGGGGAAGTCTTGCCCACACGTGTTGATGGCGTACTTCCAGGGCACCTCGGACGCCGCGAGGTCTTTGAGGCAGTTCAGGTCAGCCTGGAGCCTGGAGATCCCCCCATAGACAACCGGCTCCATCTTGGAGGCCAGGAAAGCATTTGGGAAGCAGCTCAGCAACAGCTCTACTGACTTCTTGAATTCAATGGTGGCCTTTTCATCCACGTGAACGCAGTAGACATTCTGGGGCATGTAAACAGCTCGGAAGAGCCTTGCAAAGGTATTGAAATGGTGATGGATGACCATAATATATGCCAAAGGAAATTCAGCTTCTTCCTTGGATAAAGGGGCCGTGATGTAGTGGCTTTGGATCAGGTAGTCCTTGCAAGAAGACAGCTCGTACATTATCAGTTTGTTTCTCCACAGGAAGGGCGTTTTGCCTTTGATGAAGGATGTGCAAACCTGAGTCAGAATCAAAGTGTCTGAATTATTCGGCCTCTGGAAGCTTTGCTCTCCCCCAAAACTGAACACGTAGAACACAATGAAAATGATCACGCAAGAAACAGAAACTATAAAGAGGTAACGCATCGGAGGCATGCCTCACAGGGGAGCAAGATTGCAAAGATGGGCAGAATCTGGAAGTCCTTCCCCAAACTTACTTTTTCCTCTGAGTTCTTAGTTTGGTACATACTCCAGTCATTCCCAGCCCAAAGGAGACGCTGGGAATTGAGTCCGTTTCATGCCGGGAGTCCAGCTGGCTGGCTCCGTCCCCGTGCTGATATTAGCAACTGGTCCCGCCTCGTTTTCTGCTTCTCAAACCGCCTTTGTCTAAAGCCCAGCAGCAGGTTCCCAAAGCCCAGCCTTTTCCCCTCCTCTGCCTCCCCCCTGCATCTGCTCGCCCCAAAAACTCCGGCAACTCCTTTCCCCCTCAGATTTAGCTTTTCAAATATCTTTTCTTTCCATTCCCACGTGTTTCTCCCTCCCACCCCTTTGTTATTGCCATTCAGGGAATTAGTGCCCTGAAAGCCAAAATTGAAATAATGCGTTCTGGCAGGAGTGCTGTTTCCTGCTAGTCATTGGCGGGCTGCGGCGCGATCCCCTCTGGCTGCCCCTGGCAATCACCTGGCTCCTGGGCTCTTCCAGTACAATCCACAGCATGTAATGCGGCCTCCATGCTCAAATACTTTCATGAAAAACATGCTGTAATGACAAAAGGGACTGAAGAGATAAGATCTAAAAGAGCAAAACAACAGCATCCATCCCGGCTCCTTTGTAACGCTTTCTGCCTCGCCCTAGCCTTTACAAAAACAAGAGATCACAGGGCACCCACTCCTAGGGGACCTGACAACGCAGGCTCCCTGTGACTTTGAGATCAGGTGCGAGCTCCTCTCCTCCCTTTATGGCATCTATGGAGGTGCTTGTCACAGAATGCTAGGGTCACATGAGCTAGTCCCAAGCTACATCCCCTGATTTACGTAAGGATTTAAAGTTTCCCTGGAAAGAACTTGAATTCTGGCCACAAGTGATGTTCAGATTGAGGGGAGGAGGAGCACACAGGTCTTCAACACCAAGAGAACATCATCAATACCTAGAGAAGCGCGTTGAACCTGCCCAGTCAGGCTTATTGACCTTCTGGAAAGGAACCATGTTTCCCCCCACCTGTAAAGGGTATCAAGCCCTTTGACTTAGGAGCTTCTCATCTTCAACGCCTCACTTTTCTGCCAGCTGCTTTTTATTTTTTAAATATAGATTAATGTATTTTATTTACGATGACTTTTTTTTCAAAGATTTTATTTATTTATTTGACAGACAGAGCTCACAAGCAGGCAGAGAGGCAGGCAGAGAGAGAGGAGGAAGCAGGCTCCCCACCAAGCAGAGAGCCCGATGCGGGACTCAGTCCCAGGACGCCAAAGGCAGAGGCTTTAACCCACTGAGCCACCCCAGGCACCCCTATTTACAATGACTTCTAAACTGCCAGGTCAACAATTTTTTCCATTTTTCCTCATGCTCTGAATGTCAACCTCACACCCTCTGCCCTATGCAATCAACTCAAAGCACAGACTGAGCCCCCACTCACCCCATGAAGAATAATGTCCTTCAACGGGCTTTCTCTCCCTCCTTTTGAAAAGTCTCTACCCTGATATTAATGGAATTAAGATGACAATATGCTGATTTCCTGCTTTGCCAAGGATAGGAAAACCAATGTGAGCCTTCCACCTCCAAGTGATGGACCTTCTGAGCACAGTATATTGTTTAAGCAAACTTTGTGCCCAACACGGGGCTCGAACTAGCAAAGATTCCCCCCACTCCGGCCCCCCAGATCAGCTGTCTCATGCTCTACTGACCTAGCCAGGCAGGCCCTCTGTAGCCTTTCTTTCTGCTAGTTTTCATTATTCCCACTTTTCATCCTTCCAACTCGTACCTTCTCTTCCTCTCCCCTTCACTAAATCCTCTTCATTCTTTAAGACCTGCCACAAGTCCACTCCATGTAGAACCCATCTTCAGATTTTCAAGCAAAGTAGAATAAAGAAAATGTAGCCATTATGTGGGTAAAACAGATCTAATTATTAGCATCTTCCACGGAATAAAGCAAAGGAAATGACAGCAAAGTGCATGATCATGGAAAAGTCAACCCCAAGCTTCTCTTTTTCCAAATAACGCCTTTAAGTATTAGGTTATTGTGTATTTTATTTCAAAACAGAGTCATTCCAGTATCTAGTTTAGCAAAGCTTTTTGGCTTAGAATGAGTATTAATATATTTGCAGCCTGGAAGTATTCAGGGTTAACCTAATCAGGCCAACAGAAGCTGTTTACATTATTGTTTCCATCCGGCCATTAACACAGGGGTTCAGATCCACACAGGCTGGGGTTCAGACATTAAAATGCCCTTATATTAAGACATACACACCAGCCAATCTAGGAGCTATCCTAATGTTTCTGTATTCAATCTATTACTCCCAATGGCATTGTTTGTGTGTTGAAAATATAGCTGTTTTCCCACTGTCCTTTCGGCTGTCCTTGAGCTAGCTAACTTTCCCCATCCCCAGGTTCTGGTACTAAACAAACCAAACCAAACCAAACAAACAAACCAACCCACAAGAGAACTTTTTAAGAAACTGCGTGTCGAAGCAGAGAAAGGCTGTACTTGCTACCTTTCCTTCCTAACAGGCCATAAGACCCGCAAACTCAGAACGGACCCCACGTGTTTTTCTGCTGCCCAGGCTCAACTGCTCAGCTTCCCTTCCCTCTCTGCCTCTGACCGCAGCCAAGGACCGGGCTGGCACCTGTAGGCCTAGCAACGGAGCCTTGTGCTCACTCTGGAAGCAATTATTCCCCAACTAGCCAATTAATCAGGCTAGACGTGTTTCCCCTCCCCTGCGGCCGCCTTCAACGCTTGCCCTTCATTCCCTCCAGTTTTAATTTTTCGTCCATTGGCAAAACATTCTTCCAGCTCTGGGGCTATCTTAGAACACAACTCCCACATGAAGAGTGTATCCTCTCTTGGAAACGACAGAAGACTCAGAATCTCCATGAAATTAAGAAATCATCATGGGGACGAAAGAAGATGCCCCGACACCTCAGCACCATGAGGCTTTCCGCGTGAAAAGGCAAGATAGCGGAGGACCCGGAGAGGACGGCGCTAAAGGGGGCTGCGGCACGACAGAAATCATGGCGCACCAGACTGTCGTAAAAGACTGTGCAGAAAAGACTGGGCCTCCATCTTGCCGCAAAGGAGGTCGACCAAGGACATGGTTAGGTGGGGGAGCGCTCCCAGGCAACCCGTGCCAGCTGAGGGAGGAACAAGAGCGAAATAAGTCACAGTGAGGAAGGATACGTCAGTATACTGCACCCACTGATAATAATAATAATAAAAATAAATTCATATTTATGTACTCATTAACGATGTTTTAGCAGCAACCCTGAGGCTTTAATGAGGCTTTCGTCATGTAAATACTCACAGAACATCAGCTGCTGCACCTCTTGAGTTTTTCCTTATAAGAATATAGATAGAAGAAGGATTTCAAGTCCCGGGTCACTAAGGAATTCATGGGCTGAGAATTAGCGGGAAGTCTAGACTTCCTTTTCCACTCGCTCAACCTTGTAATGTAGAAATATGTATGTTACCATATTTATACTATTTTTTTTTACTTGTTTGTATGTGTTGAATGAGTGAATGAATGAATGAGGGGAGTCTACATCCCCCATGTTCCAGTTAAGCAGAGGTGATTGCACTCTTAACTGGAATTGAGAACAGAACAACTGGTATCTTTTATTTTGACAAACAAAAACTCTGATCAGATTGATTTTATTTTCTTTCTTGTTTTTTTTTTTTTCAATTAATTAACATCTATTATATTAATGGTTTCAGAGGTCCAGGCCTGTGATTTATCAGTCTTCTATAGCGCCCAATGTACATTACATCACATGCGCTCCTTAATGTCCATCACCCAGATACCCCATCCCGCTGCCCCCTTCCCCTTCAACAACCATCAGTTTGTTTCCTATGATTAAGAATCTGGCCAGAATGATTGATCAGTTAGATTAAATGACATTAAAAAACCCACAACTTTCAATCAACTTTCTGTGAGAAACCATGCAAAATGTGTTTTCACTTGTGTGTCAAAAGGGTTGCCCAGGGGTGCCTGGGTGGCTCAGTTGTTGAGCATCAAACTTTGGTTCAGGTCATGATCTCAGGGTCCTGGGATTAAGCCCAGAGCCTGGCTCCCTGCTCAGCAGGGAGTCTGCTTCTCCCTCCCTCTCTGACCCTCCCTTCTGCTCATGCTCTCACTCACTCTCTTTCTCTCTCTGTCAAATGAATAAATAAAAGATCTTAAAAAAAAGGGGGGGGGTGTTTATTAACCCTCACAATATTACTAACAGGGCATGGTGCAAAATCAGGACACTGGATCCTAGTCCCTTTTCTAACTTCAACCAAGTATGTGGTCTTTGGCTCCCTACTTGCTTCATCTTTAAAAAAAAGATGTTCTCTGTAGTCTCTTTTAGCTAAAATGAGCGATAATTCAGTATGTGTATGGTGAATCCGCTAAGCAGCAGTGACGGAATCCAGGAAGAGTGAGGAATGGCCCCTGTCCTGTAGGAAATTCCATCTTCACTAGGATTCGAAATACATACAGCTGAAAATAGATGATGAGCAAAACACAGAAGACTGTGGATTGGTTCCAAACAAGAGGATATCCAGTAAATGCGATGGGAGCTCAGAGGGGAAAAAGCTCCCTAGGAACTGGAATGGTGAGAAAGGGCTTCCAGTGGTTGGATTCTGCCCCTCAGAACATGGAGAAGGGGCTCCAACTGGAGAGATTGCAAGAGCAAACAAGAACAGAAGAACAAGAAAGCCCAATGTGGAGAAATTTCCCTGGGAGAGTTGTGAATCTGGAATTTCTCCAGCATAGCAGCAGATTAAAAACCCTCCTATCAGCGAACCATGACCTAAGAGTACCAGTCAAGGTTAGAAGGTGAGCTGCAGGAGAGCTGGGGACATTTTCCCTCTGTTCCTACCATTGTCCAGCAACTCAAACAGCCTTCCCTTGTATTCTGGAAGGTGGGCCATCTGGCACATGCTGCATTCAATGCTCATTGAATGGGTCCGGAATCATCTGGGTATTTGAAAAGTACAGTTTTCAGCAATGGAAAAAGGAGTGTTAAAATCTATAGTTGCCCTTTGTTCTAATTTGTGTATTAGAATAGCAGAGGCTAGGAGAACCCTCCATGATTTGTGACTTTCCTGGTCCAGTATTCCTTTTTTTTTTGCTCTTCTGTTTCAGTACACACCTGCAGAGACCTAACCATGAACATACCACACTTCCTCACATACCTTTTCTTTGTTTAATTGCATGTACTTATGCAAACTTCATTATGGTTTCATAATTGTTCTGGGACTGGTTTTTCCATTCTCAATTAACTACTGTCCTTTGGTCGGGGAAGAAATGGAGGGGACACAGGTTTGAGCAGGCATACAACATTTGAAATGTTAAATAATAGCAGAAAGGGCCCCACAAGGACAGGGTCTGATCAAGTTTATCAAAGTGACATTGAGAGCCTAAGTCCCATGGCAGAAAAATTTGAGTGAATGAGGTAAGATGTTATCATTTCTTGGGCTCACTGATGGCTGTTCTTTGGAAGGTCATTTTTGTGTGGTTTTCTTTGTTATTGAAGCAGGCCAAATGACTCAGGGATTTATTCTTAATTATAACACGTAGGGAATTATGTTTTCCCCTTGAGCTAAGGGTAATTCACAGGGAAGTAGAGAATGGTGA